AATTTTCCATATTTTTAAACTTTATTATGTATTTAATTTTTTTAAATTAACTTGGTGTACCAAAATTTCGGATACGAAACGTCTGTGTTAAAAAATATTTATCAAACAATACCGAGTTACTAAAACGCGGCCTCTTCAATTTATTGGCCTCGCAACCGACAGGCTGAATACTTGGCCACTGAGGTATGCGTAAATTAGATGTAACGCATGCAAAGTATCAGCCACCTCGAAATCGGACAGGTATAATAGATGATGCAATAAAGTCAAAGATGTGCGCTCTCCAAACACTGGACGCATGCGGCCTCGATGCACGTATAACGTTTTCCGCACCTCCGCGCGCCCAGACGAGTGAAGGATTTCCGATATATTGGATGCTAAGGGTCGGTCGAAGTCGGCAACACTTTTCGAAAATATTAATCGAGGTGATGTATTACCCGAATCGGGACAAAACATGTCCGACCCGTTCGAGTGGTCTCACAAGACTCCGATAGTATGGTGATAGAAAAAAAAACGCGGCCTCGAGTGCAATGGTGTACTATGGTGGTATACCGATCTGTACTGATTTTATATCAAGATGATCAACCTCATTATTTAGTGCGATGTTGCCAAATTTTATTCATAATATAATTTATCTTTGCAACGATATAACTTCTTTCTTAAAGAAGTAATGCTGATACTTACAATATTATATATAAAATAATGTATTACACTTAGTATACTTCTACCAATAAAAAAAATTCTACCGATAAAAAAAAATAATTAGAAATGCAAATTTAGATTTGTACTGGAAATCAACAGAGCTTCTTTACCTCACTTCATAAATTAATTTCTTCAAAATTAGTTAATAATTTTGTTAGAATTAAGTAGCAAACTTAAGATTAAATATGACAGTAGCGTTTAGAAATCATTTTGTAATTTAGTAACTGTTTAATTATTTTGAAATTTATTGAATGTAGATAATCATTTGACTGCTGACATACATCTTTAATTAACTGATTTTTTAAAATTATGATACTCAATGTTGTTGTTCTAGATACTCCTACAAGTCTGTATTATTGCTACTGGAAACTACAATTTCTTTAACTTCCTTACAATTTGTTTATGCATATCCTTACTGGATGATCAATTCTTTTATAAACGAAAATCTAAAAACAATAAATCTCATATTAAAAATTATCTTTCTACACTAATAACCATATTGGTTTATGGAGGAATAATGTACGGGGCATATATTTACTATGGTCTTAAGATAATGGACAATTGGACCATTGAATCTAATATCAGTATGTATCACTATTTTATTGATAATTGATAATGATTTAGTCTTAACAAATATTATTGGTCACACATAATCGTTCTTTTTTTTTAGCATTTACACAGCAGCAATTTAGTTACATTCTATATCATGTAGTGATATTTTCAATATATATTGGTCTAGCATCCTTTGCATTAACGCTAGTTCCGATAATTATTTCTGTATTTTATACAAAAGAAATGCATAAATTAACTGATAAATTAATAGCAATGTTAATTGCACTTCTCTACGTCCTTTCTATAGCCTGTATTTTTGCTATAAGCGTTGTAAGTATACCAGGTATAAGTGTGTCTAGATTTACCATTAACTGAAAGTTCAACGCTCTACAGCACATATGCAGCTTGTTATCATATACATATAAGGTATAATGTAAATGCTGGCAGGTACCATATTCCTCTTTATCTAAACTGTTCAATTCGACAATGATTGATCATCTGACTCGGTTACATTCAAAAGTGGATCATTTTCATATAACGAACAGTTATGGACTATTCCGTCGTATGACAGGAGTCAATGGCAGACCTGAAGTTGTGATAGAGGGAAGCGACAGTATTGAAGGACCCTGGAAGGAATATGAGTTTTTATATAAACCAGGAAATGTTAATAATTCATTACCATTTGTTGGTAAGATATTTTCACATATTGATATATCAAGACCGTTTCTTTTCATATTAATACTTCAATTTATTAATAAACTTTATAATATTGTAAAAGATAAAGAATTCTTTAACACATATTTCTTTTTTACAGCACCCCATCAACCTCGTCTTGATTGGCAAATGTGGTTTGCTGCTTTAGGTACATATCATCAAAATCCGTGGTTAATGTCACTAGCCTATCGTTTATTGAGTGGACAGCCTGAGGTGCTGGCTCTAATGAATACTGTCGAAAATCCATTTCGAAATAGACCACCGAAATATGTTAGAGCTAGCCTTTATCATTATCATTATGCATCGTGGAGCCAAACGTGAGTACATCTAGAATGAGTGAATGTGTGAGTGAGCGAGTGAGCGCGCGTATACGCTATGATGTTAAGGTAAATGTCCCAATTAGTAACCAAGTTATCTCGTGGCAAAAGAGAATTAATAATTTATCGATATGTATGTCACAATAAGTACTTGAAATTAATTTTTTTTTTAAATTTGGACACTTAAGATTGATATTAATTTTTTATATTTTTTTAGAAATTCTAAATTTATTACATTTTCATAAATGTTGTTTTTGTACCATTTAATGACACATGTATTCGAAATTGTTCCAATTTGTGACGCATGTTGGTTCATATCACTGATAGGGTGATATAAAACATGCAATGTCCCTTTTACTATTGACATATAGTAAACATAGGAACGTCCTTATTATAATAACACACAGTTAAATAATGGCCGTGTTCGTATATTACTATCAGTTGTCAATACAGTATATTAGTATGTGTAACAGGAACTATAGATTTTCAGTACTGGCAATCAACTAGCAATAACATACGAATATAGTCAATTTTACGCCTAAGTAATTTGAATTCACAAAATAAAAAATTATGAGTATACTCACTAGTATTTGACACTCATATATATTATTTGTGGTTTGTTGCTACTGGCATAACTGACATCTTAAGGTGGGTACCTACCAATTGTGCAAAACGTTTGCGAACGTTTGCAAGCATTTTCAAACTGAATAAATTCGGCGAAGCCTTCAAACACACACAATTAAAAGAGAAAACATTACATACAAAATATTCACTAACATTCGCAAACATTTGCAAATGTTTGTAAGGAAATGCTTGTTTGATGGTTACCTACCTTTAGGAACTGTACCGGCTAATCACAAATTAATACAAAATCATGTACATATTATTGACTTAAGCAAGACAATTCATAGATTAAGAACTCATATTTGTATATTTTCTAAATTGTGACTATAAATTATATTATTCTTTAATTTAATAATGATTGGTATTTATACATATTTTCTTTAAAAACAAGAACATTTTCATCGTTTTATATCATATTTGTATGAAATTTCAGTAATAGAGATTTGCCATCGTGAATAGCATGTTTACAATTATAATATTTTAGAGTTAACAAAAGCGTTTAATTTTATTCAAAATTCGTTGTAATAGATAACATATACAATTTTGAATATTAACATATTTTTTTAGAATAAACATTATCTATATTAATTGATTTATTGAGGAAAACCGTGTCGATTATCACTAATTAAGACATTTACCTTATAAATGCTTTGAAGGATTCTTTGATTAGTTACAATTTGTAAAATTCTTTCTTCTAATTGGTTATTCAAATGCTTCAGAGTGTTCACAATGAGATGTTGACCACACTTTGAATTTATATAGACACACAATTTAATCCCATTGTCCTTACACAGATCGAATACTCGTGTTTGGTGGACTAGAGAAAGAATAGGAGAATATTTCCCAATATTCAGCCAAAGTCATTCTCCGCTTATCGAATATTTAACAAAAATGAAGATTCTTCAAGAAAAGCCAGGTTTTAAAATCACAAATGAACCACTTAAATTGATTTTAGACAACCTTAGAGCTTTGGTCGGTAAAATAGAACCGAGTCTAATGTTATGGAGCGTTTTCACAGCTGGTTGCGCAATAATCGTAATGGGTTACGGCAATTCAGTATCGAAAAAGAAATAATTATACTGAACGATAATCATTATAAAAATTTAATAAGTTACAAGATTTTGAATGTCAACATAAAATGCAAGCTGTAAAATATACATACAATGCATCAGCTAAGTGAGAATTATTTGCATACAGTGTAAACTCAGACTTGAGGTGCGTTCCGTTTTTCGCATGATGCGCATTATATGCGAAACGGAACGCACCTATAAAGTTGCAAGGTACTTTTTTGCATGTAAGATATATATGTATTACATTTCTTCTATCTATTAGAGCTCTGTTAGACAATATTAACTATTATATCGTACCTATATAATAACAATGCATTAAATATAAATCTACTAAGATAATTATTTATAAGAGAATAAGTAAAAGGCATTTCATTTTGCATAAAGAATTTATTAAAGGATTGGATGTGTATACATACATGTGCTGTATGTATATCAAAGATCTCTTGTTTCATACTTTTATGAATATATTATATATTATTTGTTAACATTAGTTTCGATGGTTTTAAGGAAGATATTATCACGTACTTATAATGAAACAAAAGAAAATATATCCATTATGATAAAAATAAGAAAGTAACGAGAACAGACATTTTGATATAAAACATATTTTCTTATACAATTCATTGATATTGCATTTTTCCTTATGTCTTCTACTAATTATTACATGTCTCTCTTGATTTATTATTTACATAGATTGTAAATAAGTTTCAATAAACATACATTTGTTTAAAATTATTACTTTGTCAGCCACTCTTATGGCCTTCCTAAAATCTATAAATATAATTTTATATATTATTTATAATTATACTAGATAGAAGTGTTTATAACATGTATATGCATATATATTTAGAATGTATCCACATACATATGTACTAAATTTTGCAGATCAATATTGTTAATTATCACAGTTATGTAATACTTAATGGATTATTTTCAGAAGATTATATTTGTAATAAATAAAAACTAGTCTTTTTTTCTACATCCATTTATTTCAATATATTAGATCTACAACTTAATTCTCGGCGCTTATATTCAATCAATTACAGCACTTATTCAAATTTGAATCTTTTTCTCGTCATAGTCTTTTTGAAGTGTCATGCTTAAGCTTTAAAATAATAGGTATCGGTACTGCGAATTTAATCTAAAAAAATAGTAGTGAAAACTATGTCGTTTGAAAAACAGGGCTGCGTTCAGAAATTATGCACAGATAACTCTTAGGTGCATCTTTGCTATAATATATGTAACGTAAATTATAGCTTAGACCTACCTAGGCGTATTTCCTGAAAGCAGCTCAGCATTTGAGGCAATGCCTCTTTTTCGTTCCAACTGAAGAAAAACGCAGAAGTTCAAGAAATGATTTGCTCGGCTTTAGGCGAAAATTCTGTGTTGTACACAGTACATGTAAAAAGAGATTTCAAAGATTTCGTGATATCAATTTCAATTTTTTTCATTATAGTTGCTTGAAAGATGGCGAAATGTGGAAAGTAAAGGAGCTTACTTTGATATTACGTTAATATTCGTTCTTTTATAATTTTACATCAAAACTTAGTAAAAGGGGCTGAGAATTGTTGTAAACCTAATAAAAAAAAAATATAAGTTAAAAAATGTATCATGTTTTGAAATAAATAAAACTTTAATGCTTCCTACAAGTATTTCCATATTGATTTAAATGATCCAGAATTATGCGTTATTTTCTAGTGATTTTATATTTCTTATTAATTCTTTTGCAGCTACGTACTTCAGGAAGGTTTCTCGATGTAACGCCCAAGTTAAGTTGCGAATTGTTATTAGCCGAAATACTTGAGTCATCTCTTTTATTTAATTGCAAAGGATTTATATCTGTATTTTCATAGTCTTCAAACTTTCTTTTTTTTGAAATAGTTGCGATTATTTGATGAGTCGGCTTATCTTTTGAAAATATCGCTTCTGGCCCTTGCACTTCCAATATAGTGTTCGACAAACCTATTGGAAGTTCAAATAATTGCCGTAGGCGCGTTCGCAGCAGTTGATATTCAGCGCTCTCCATTTTTGTAAGTTCAGAATTTGTCGAAGTATGTTCTGATTTTAATTCCTTTCCAAACAATGCCATCAATTCACATCGTAGATGAGATTCGTGTTGATAATCATACAGTAATTTCCAAAGAAACAAGTTCTTTAAACCTAATAAAGTCGCTTGATTTGGTGGAATTATATTATCCATATTTACATCTTCATCATCTTTGACACTCGTAGTTTCTTTGTCAACTTTGTTAAATTCCAATTGTTCATAAGCTTCCAAACTTACCTTTGATCTACCAACTTTCTTTAACTTATTTAATTCCACTTGTTCGTAATCTTCCAAACTTACATTTAATCTAGTTTTTTTCGACTTGATTAATTTCACTTGGTTGCAATCTTCCGAACTTATCTCTAAATTTACATTCAATTTATTGTGTTCTAATAAAATCTCTTTTGAAGTCTTTGTTTTAGCAAAAGAAAAGATACATTTTGTTGATTTATATAAATCTACATTTTGTTCTAAAAAATTATGGTAATCATTTATTAAGAACTGACCAAGTTTATGAAACTGAATGTCTTCCTCAATACTTACAAAAGGAAATACAGAGGGAATTATAGAGAAATCTGCATGTACATCAATAAGAAATTTTTCATTAATGTCTAAATCGTAATCTATAGATGTGTTCTTTTGATTTTTAATTTTTCTGAGCTTTACATGTCCATCAAATGGAAGTGGTGGTATGAAAAAATCACTCTCATTAACTTCTGGGGTACAACCAAACATTAGTACACTATATTTTTCTATCAGTTCATTATTCTGTATATGTCTTACGTTTAAATATTCTTTGAAAGAAACTAGAAGTTGTTTCTCTTTGTTATTTAATTGTACATATTTCAGAAAATTATCTGGAATATCAAGATTGGCGTTTAATAAATTCAATGTGTTGTATAATCTCTTAGTGTAACGCATAAGCTGCTCGCTATTGTAAAATTTTTCAGAATTATTAGGTTTAATTGAAAGTGGAAAACAAAGAGCTTCATACAATCTTAACTGAATATCAAAAATATTTACAACAGGTTGTATCTCAGATATAGTATTTTTAATAAGTGTCTTTTTGGTGCTCTCTTTATTGGATGACTTTTTATTAATAAAATTTCTTTTAGAAATTGTAGGGGGCGGTCTAGGTATACTTTCGAGACTTGTACCCTTCGCTATATATTTTAATAATGCATTATATCGATGTCTCACTTGTGTTCTTGTTTTATCGGAAAAATACTTGGCTATTCTGGACCAATCGTTACTGTATTTCAATTGCAGATTAATTAACATCATATCATCGTTGAGTGTCCAAACATTCCAATTATTGACATTGGACACCACCGTTTGGTAACGCTCTTGGAGTTGTATCGAAGTTCGATGTGGCATTACAGTGCTTGAAATTTTACAGAAATCCATGCCATATTTCTGCACCGCTTTCAGGAGAGTTGTTGTTTCCTGATAAGTAAATCTACCTTTTCTCAAATGTGGTGCTTTCCTATACGTCCATCGTACGTAAATTTGTTGCTTGGTTCTGTGTCGAAAATGATTAGCAACTTCGGACCAAGAAATGTAGTCTCCGATCTTGATTGCGTTTATAATTTTTATGAGATGTTTGTCCTCCTGCCTGGTCCACAATTGTCCTGCTAACGGCACTTTTTTGATAGTATTATATCTGATAAAACATTGATATGCGCTACGGTTTGTATTTAATTTCCGCGCAATAGCATCCCAATCTTGACACTTATATTCTCTGATACATTTCAACAGGTTCTTATCTTCTGCATTTGTCCATTCATTTTTTCTAAAAGCGGGATGCAGGTAGACATTCCACATAGCCTTGCATTCGCCTGGTGAATGTTTATTATCGAAATCCATAACAGAAATCTTATACCAATCGAAATCTCTCGCACCCAACGGCCCCACCATCTCGTTGAAGTTTCTGGGAATTACCAACTTAGTTTGATTATCAGATGTCGACTCGTCAATTTCTTTATTGAATCCTCCAGACAGTACCGATTCGATAGCTTGATTGTTTATGGCACTTAAAAGCATTTCTCTGTCTTTTCCTGACCAGCGGTTTGGCTTTTTCAAATTCAAAAGAAACACTTCACCAGCGGCTTCCTTTCGCTTGGTATCAATATTCTTAGGAGCACTGAAATAATCCTTGTCTTTGAAATATGGTATACCAGCATTGCTGATTGCCAATTTGGAACTTGAGCTCGATTCATCCGTAGATTTCATCAACTTCTCGTCCAGCAGCTTTATCTTCTGCTCGCATTCTTCCAGCAGAGCAGTCAATTTCTTCTTAGCTATCGTCAAGCCCGTGATCAATCTTGTATTAATCTCGTAAGCGTTCAAAGATTTTTCGATTTCCTGATTTGCTTGGAGATAGTTGACATAGTCATCGTTATCCTCAGCGACGACATTCGACAAAACGTCAGATTGTTGACTGTTACTAGCATATTGCTCGGATTTTTTTTTCGCAGATAAGGCTAAAGCTTCATCAAGAGCCTGAATATCAGCTTGAATATCCAAAAGGTCTAAGTCATCGAATTCGTTCATAATGAATGAAGTATATAATTTCTTGTCGCCTCTTGTGTAATTACTGTGACAAATAAATGAAATGATAGCATAATAAATCTAATTAGAGATAGTAAACGAAGAACAAACTTACGGCGATTCCTGTAAAATCAACGCAGTGGTTGTGTAAAAAAAAGCTGGAATCCTCAGAAAGTCCTCTCATGCAATATTGAGTAATAAAATAACAGTGCTGGATATGATATCATTAGTAATTGAAATAAAATCTGGTACTTGCATGGCGAATAAAGGCAAATAATTTTTTTCCTTGTTTCTCTTGCACTGTGAAATAAAAATTAATGTTTACAAATGTAATCACTAAAAATTGATGATATAATTTATAATATGTCGCCTAATGATGAATTCCATCATTCAGAGTAGTATACATTAAAAGTCATTTTATATCAAATATTTAAACTGTTTTAGAGATTTGCTAAAAAATGGTTTATATAAAATATTTGCAATGGCGTAATATAATCAATTTCAATAGTGCTTTCTAGTAAGAGACAAAGGGTATTTTATTTACTGACTCGTTGACATAAATATTCTATTTTTCTTGACATTCAATGATAGAACAATACTTGTGTTGGCTGTTAACTTGTGTCACTAAGGATGAGTCGTTGTAGATTATTCCATCTTTTCATAAACTTCAGCTCATTCTCTTACTCTTTTATTTATATATTAGATAAATTATTGTATAGTTTATCCAATGATATAACAATCATCCCTCTCTAATGATGTTTTCCATTTGATATAAATTGGTACAAATATTGAGTAAATGTTTAGGAGCATGCACACATTGCGTGTCCTTCCGCCCACACACACAAAACTCACACGGATGTATTTTGTGATAGCTCTATACAGCATTCAAATTCTGTTAATACACCATGCTCATACTTAATTTTCAAGGTTTAATTTTCCTTATCGATTCTGAACTTTTTATTAACATTATCGTATTCAGGAGACCAAAATCTATTAAAAAAAAAAAAAAAACGCTATTCCTTTTCTTACACCATTGTGGGCAAAAATCAGCCTGTTTTTAATATCCTCCTTTACATCTGCACAACATAATTCTCTACTTTAATAAATTTAAATTATAAAAGAGACATACGTTTCCTCTTAAAACATTGTACACATATCTTTTTACAACTAGTGCTACTAATTACTGAAAAAAAAACCATGGTTTTTTGTGGAGTAGTATTTTTGATTATCAGGATCTTTGATAATTTTTGTAAAAATATTTTCTATTTTTAGTATATTAGACTCATCAATTTAGTAAAATGTAAAAGTTGAGTAATGATTGTGAATAGTATTTAACCAACATAAAATTGATATTTAAAATTTTAAATATACACAGTATAATTGTCAAATTTTTCCCATAATAATCATACATCTCTTCTTAAAACATTGTAAATATGTCTTTTTATAAGTAGTTTTATTAATTACTGAATACTTTTTTTACCAACAATGAGTATTGTTTTGTTTTCGTTATTCATAGAATGCAAAAATTGATAGAATGGCATTTTTCTGACTTGTATCACCAAAGGAGAAACATCCATTAATATTACAGTGAATTATTTCATCTTTAATTATACCAGAAGGTTTGCGGGTTATCGCCGTGTCTTTCTTCATTGTTAATGCCAATGTTTCATCAGGGCGAGGGGTGCACTGATACTGTATCTGTGCATCCCTCGCCCTGATGAAGTGAACGGCATGGTTCACGAAACGTTGACATTAATAATGAAGAAAGACACGGCGATAACTCGCAAACCTTCTGCTATAATTGAAGAAAATACCCATGAAAGTCTCAAAAGCGTATTTCATCTTTGTTTAACATTGGCAATAAGGATATAAAGATTCATTATTACATTATGTCATTGATGTCTCTTACAACAAAGTACTTATTATTATTCTTTGTTATTTACCAATATGTTAAACAAACATTAGGTAGACACAAGTGTATTCCATTTTTGTTATTTATTGAATTCCAAGAAGAGTAGAACATTGTTTATGGATTTCATTTGTGATGATTTAAGTCAATATAAATGTTTTATCTTTCTTGACATTCTATAAGTAACAAAAATAGAATGATATTTGTGTCGATTCACATCGACTTGTGCAAATTGAAAGCATCTGATGTCAAATGATTTTTCTTTATCAACATAAATTAACTTTATTTAATTTTGGTTTAACTTACTTTTTATTTTGTTTTTAAAATTAGAAAAAGATAAAAAGTAATAGTTAAACTGAGACTATTAATCTATATTTCAGTAGAAATGTATATTATTTTTTTTTAGAAGGAAAACAGTCTAAGTGATTCATTAGATGCATCCAGAAGCACGACCGCTCACTGAGCTTCTTTATCTGATTGGCATATTCTATTAGACCTAAAAATATAAACCGAACAGATACAACAGCAGCTTACTGAGCGCTTTTCTGGATGCACCCATTGTGTCACACTGTGTTATTTCTGCTTCTTGTTCGTAAAACATCCAATATCATTCTTGGATATTTGTTTAAAATATTTATATATCTTTATATTTAGATTTGCTAATTTAATGTACAATAATTTTTAGAAAGTATACACACTAATCTAATGTCATAAGTGATGTAATATAAGTAATCAAAATCTATAACAAAATTCGAATAAAAAACGAACTTACATGTCTCAATTGAGCGAATGACCAAATTAACCAAGTAACGTTGGTACTCGGAAAGTTCGCATGTCATGCGAAAACTGACTAAATGTAATGATATTTGTCAATAGAGATCTCAGAATCGCGTAGTTAGCAATCGCTTTCATTAACACTCGTCTACTCGCAGCTATAAATTATTGTTGCAGAAGCACGAATATCTATCTTCTTTTTTTAACGAAAAACCATCACTCTTGGGTCGAGGCAAATCTCCCACTATTTTCTCTCAAACTCTCAACAGTCTGAACCAGACTACCTACTGATATACTGATAATCCGTTATTCGCTCGCGAGCATTTACGAATATCTGCGAAAATGCGAGGCTATAAACAGCTACAAATTTATGTGTACGTAAACGGCGCAGATATAAGGCTTGTTCTTTTTGCCTGCACTGTCTGAACTGGTACAGACAGTGCAATAAGTTGAAGTGAAATAAACGTATATCTGTTTCATTTCAACTTATTGCACTCTCTGCACCAGTTCAGTAAAAAGAACAGGCCTATAAAATCGATTCAACCAATGCACGCATAAGATCTGTTCTTTTTGACTGTTTTTGACTAAACACCAGTTCATCTTTCTTCCTTTTCTCTCCAGGAAAAGAGAAAAGGAAAATGAGATGCCATAGAGACCCTCTAATCAGAGTCGCGAAATAACGTTTCCAATTTTGATTGGTGCTGACATTTTTCAGTAAAAACCGGGAATAGTCATAGCGTCAAATTTAAGTCGACCTACATTCGCTGGGTTGCGTTCAGAATCAAGCGGGGAGCACAGACTTTTGCATAACGCATAAACCATATACATAAAGAATTTGATTGGTCCACTGACTCATGCATAAGAAAATGGACCAATGAAATTCCTTATGCACATGCTTTATGCGTTATGCAAAAGTCTGTGCTCCCCGCTTCATCAACCGAGTGATCCAGGTGTCGTGTTTATTCTTGTTTATCATAGGGACCCTCAAGTAAGGGATCGGACAACAGCGTGAAAGATGCGGATTGGCTGCCGCCATTAGAGGGATATTTCCGTTGGTTAGGTTAGTATGCTTTCCTTTTAGAGGACACACTCGACACAAACATCATTCTATCTTTATCATTCGTTGAAAGGATAGAACGACGTTTGTGTCGAATGTGTCATCTAAAATAGGAAAACATACTTAGTAATTGCTGATTTAGTTGCTCAGTATTGTTAATTGTTTTAAGGGTGCTGTCCCATGATACGGAAATTACACCGGAACGGAACAGTGAGACCAATCACAATCGCAGAAAGGAAAGTAGAGTAATGATTGCAGAGATCTGATTGGTCTCACTGTTCCGTTCCGGTGTAATTTCCGTATCATGGGACAGCACCCTTAAGATGTAGATATTATACGTATGTACGGTTCGAAAATACAGTTTATATATTTTTTAAATCATTGCGAAATGCGATACTGTGAAATCCAAATTGCAAAAATTTAAGTAGAAATGGCCATATAATGCCTCATTTCCCGAAATCTCCCACAAGAAGAGAAAAATGGATAATCTATCGTGCCTCTGGTTGTGTCAGTTGGACACCTAAAAAGTATTCTGCCTTATGTAATATAAGTAGATATAATATTATATATATTTGTGTACAATTTTCCATTATACTGCTCATGTTTCGATCACTTTGCATTTCAATCTTGAAGGAATAATATCTCTTATATATAATTTTATAGATTTTCATGTGAGTATTACATTGATATTGTTTTCATTATATTTTTTAATTTAGATTTGTTTTTTTATTTTTCCTTTAGTTTTCTGAACAGTTTAAAGATGTAAACTAACTATTCTTTACTTAATATACCTGTGTTACGTTGCAAAAATACATACATTTTATGTATTATATTTTATTAGATCAAAATATTAAAAAATATCAATAAGTTACTCATTTTGCATTTATCATTTAATAACTTATGAATTAGTAATTTCTTGTTGACCGATGCGAATATGCCGTAGCGGTCTAAGCTGGATCTTGGGTGCTTCTATATAATTGCATGTGAATTTATATATCGCGTATGTAAATTTTTAATTGCGCGCCGAAATTTTTTCAGACTTGAAACGCAACACTAATAAACTACCGCAGTAATATCATGAGTTAAATTGACTAACAACACGCTGTTTGATCGATCTTGATAATGTTGAATGACCTATTAAAATCTGCAAATAATAATTTTTTTCTTTTATTTTCGCATTCGTTTTTATTTTAATAACTTTCGTTACACCCATATTAAATAACTTACTCGTTTTTGATACGAAAAATTATTTCAGATAAAAGTGGTTTCGAGGGGGACGTGTTTTAGTCACATTGTTTTTTTGTCTAGATTGAGGCACCAAAAAGATATGAAGATCACCTCCCCTTTTTTAGTTGAATTACGTGATTTTTTTACATAATGTCATTTCTTTAACAATTCTGCATATAAAAGTATAAAGGTACAGATATTATAACAACAAAAAGAAATATAGTTTATGGAACATTTTATACTTAGCCTGCGACATACATTGACATAAAATATTAAATATCTCGTAAACTATTGGTTTTTTAATATCAGCTAGTACTTTCATATTTTTATTTGCAGATTTGTTAAAAAAATCACATTATATAAAAAAAAAAGTCAGATAATTCCAGTTAAAAAAGTGGAGTTAACCTTCATATCTGTTTGATGCCTCAACCTAGACAAAAAACAATGTGACCAAAACATGTCTCCTTCGAAACTGTTCCACTTTTATCTGAAATATTTTTTTTGTATCATCAGAAACAAGCAAGTTATTTAAGTGACCTGTTTTAGATGCCTCACCAATGCCTCACCCTGGTGTGTGTGTGTGTGTGTGTGGTATGTATATGATGTGTGTATGCATATATATATATATCTATCTCTATCTCTGGCAATGGCGGCGGAGAAGGAGAAGTCCAGCCGCGCCAGAGAGCGCTGCACCAGATCGTCGTGCCGTCGTACTGTATCTATCGTCTTGTCCCGTACCGTACCGTTCCGGGGGGCGGTGATCGGCGGGATCGGCGGAGCGGAGCGACAGCGCGAGAGGCCTTATGTCAAATCGACATCGACGATAAGGACGAAGTGTGCCAGCATGAAGAAACTGTTCTCTAAGATCGACAACACGTCGAAGGAACCCAATAGTTACCTGGGGAAGGTGTTCGTTGTGGGTCGCCACACAGTCACCGTTGAAGAAGTTTTGGCAGAAGGTACGCGGTTTTTTTCTTGAACATCGTTTCTTTTCTAACGTTTTATAACGACACCAACATTTCCCTTCATTTCTGCTCTTGCGTGTGCTCTTCTGTGTTTCAGTTTTCAGTGGACGTGTATGCGAACGAATCTCCCCTGTTTTATTTTGCACTGCAACCTTGCCCGCCCTCTCCGCCACACCTGGCCATCCCGCTCTCTCCCCCCCCCCCTCTCTCCCTCATTTCTCCCCTCTCCTCTCCTCTTTATTCTCCATCCTGGATTGTCCTCGGCGAGTATGAGATAAGCGACGACATGTACAATTTCCATCCAGGCCGGGTGATTGGTAGACGTCATTAAATTCCCCTTATAGAAATTTAATACTGATTAATTACTCATTTTTCGAGGACTAACAAGTATTTCTAATATTCGAAATAAATAATTTCTGGTATTAAACTGGATTTCTGTAAGGGGAATCGTTAACTTTCCATACGTTGACCATGAACTATGTGTTTTAACGGAGTTTACGGTTCCAACGAATAACAGCTATGTTGCTTTGGAATAAACAATCAGTTGCCTTTTAGAGAGCTAATGAGATTTCACACAAAAGAATCTGAGATATTTTAAACATAAATAAGAGAAAAGAAAGCGGGTCTTGATGCTTAGTAATATTTTTTATTTTTATGTGAATATGCAAATACAATTATCAGTTCTATGTCAATTCAATCTTTTGCTAATTTTAAGATATTTTACTGAAACGCAAGAATCCAAGTTTATTATTTTTTGAGAACGTTAATATATGAAATGTGAAGTGTCAGCTTCATGCCATTTAGAAAATCAGGACGTTGATTATGTTTCGGAGAGCTAATACTGTGGAATTTCCTCGCTTCAAAAGTTTTTTTGAAATAATTGCATTGTTGTAAAATGCCAAATGATGGAGGTATATTGTTACAAGTTAATATAGTTGAAACTGACAAACAGAAATTGATTGTCTGTAAACTTACTTAGAGGTAAAGTCGAGTATCGTATCTTTTATTACCACTCTTGTAATTATATTTATGTCAAGATACAACACGCTACATGCATAATAACCTTGTAGATTTTCTATTTCATATTTTTTCTTTAATCTGATTTATATGTACAACTATAATTAAATACTGAAAACATTTTGCATTTGTTTTCTCTGTCTTTCTGCTGTATGTCTTATGTAAGATAACATTGTTTTACAGGAGGATTTGCGATTGTATTTTTGGTTAAAGCCTCAAGTGGACGATATGCACTTAAACGAATGTATGTCAACAATGAACATGATCTTAATGTGTGTAAAAGGGAAATTCAAATTGCTGTGAGTATTTTCGTGAATGGTGAAATGCTAGTTCGTGCTAAAATTAGTAACGCTAGTTAATTATTTTTTTTTTAAATATATTACATGGAAGTAAAATTAAATGAATTATTTCTATTTGCAGAGCAACCTGAGTGGTCATAAAAATATTATAGGATATGTAGATAGTAGCATAACTCACACCACTGGAGGAATACACGAACTTCTGCTTTTAATGCCTTACTGTAAATCCCAAGTTCTTCAAATGATGAATAACAGGTTAGGAATAATTTTTTTTATCTAAATACCGATGAGAATAAGCCATTAACAGTCAAGCTAGGTCTTGGAAGCTTCTAATATAATTTTTATGTGAATTTATATACTACGTATGTAGATTTCTAAATGCGCGCTGAAGTTTTTTCCAGCCTTATAAAACGCAAACTAATAAACTACTGCAGTACTATCACAAGTTAAATTGACTAACAATCTAACAATTTTGGTGCACATTGCATTAATAAGATCTTGGATCTTAATAATATGCTGAATGACATATTAAAGATGTAATTTTTTTAAAATTTTTTATTTTTAATAATATTTGAATACACAATTTTATATGTGTATATTTGTATACATTTTGTACGCGCGCGTGTGTGTGTTAGGTGTTTTAGATCATTTGTACCATCTTTTTATCTTCGCAGGATAATGTTTGATTTTTTTAAGATAGGTATTTAAGAATTAAGGAGTAGTCTCAGCTGCAAAGGCACTTTTACTGCCTGCTTGGAATAGTAAATGCTCATGCAAAGTATAAATAATAAATAAACAACTTAAAAATCTCTGGAGCTTTATAAAAGAACGTGTTATGTTAACTGCTCTCACAACACGTAAAGGTATGATGGATAGAATATGTCAAGCCTGTGTATAAGTAACATCACAGATGTTAGCTAATGTTCAAAGGTGTTTTTGTGAAAGAGTTCTACAATGTATTGAAGTGGAAGAACATTATTTCGAACATGTAATTGGACATTGATTATTTAATATGTAAATATTTAAGTAACATTTTGTACGTTTGTTTAAAATAATTTCAAAATTTTATTCGTTTTTCTAATAAGTCGTTTCTATACTGAAATATGAAATATTAAAGCGTTATTGATTTTATTTGACAAAGTTTACGAAAATAAATCTTTTTAGGGATGTTTATTTGTTATTTATACTTTGAATGAGTATTTACTATTTCAACCATGCAGTGTTTTTGCAGCTAAGACTACGCTCCTTAATCCTTAAATACTTCATTAAAAAAATCAAATAAAATAAGTCAAATAAAAGTTACTTAATAAATTCATTAGCTCAAAATAAACCTTTCTTTATCTCTTGTTTCTTTATTTCTTTTTCCTCAGCTGCTTGTTATCGATATTTTTTCATTTGAAAAATATTTTGTTAAATATCTTGGAAAATTGAAAAGGTGAATGAAAATATATTTCCGGCAATTACTTGTTTCTTTACGTAGAATATGATGTTATTATAAAAGACGTAGATTCCTATTTAAAAAAAAAAACAAAGTTAATTTTGAAATGGTCTTGAAACCTTCCACGAAATCAAAACCAATAAACCTCATAATGTTTTCTTCTTGGAATCAGATAACTTTTGTCTAAACAATTTTTCTCAATAATGCCATATTTTCGAGAGAAAAATTTGTAACACTTTCTTTTGGACACCCAGTATATGTATAACACGCGAGCGCGCACACATACACAGGGTGTCCTGAATTTGCATGTCACAACTTGGGAGCATGTAGGGGATCTATAAACTAAGAAAAAAAAATCTTATAAATAAATAAAAATATATAATTACAATGACAACGCTTGTTATGTTTTAAAAAAACAAATAAAATAAAGATATTAAATTACGGTATTAGAACAAGCCAAACAAATAAATGATGACAATTTTTATTAAAATATTCTATATTAAACTGAGAAACGTTTCAACTTATACATAAGTCCTCTTCAGTCTCCTTTATAAATGATACATGACAAAATAAACGAAGTACGGTTACTCTTTCAAACTATAGTCCATCAAGTCAGCTAGTAAAATGAATATTGTTTCTCAATCCGAACAAAGAAAATTATCCGCATCGTAATTCTAAATCCATATTATTATATATTAGGAAACAATTTTAAAAATTATAAATTTCTGTACAGATATGCTCGTTTTTATTTTGTTTTGGAGAAAATCGCAAGAAAAGACGAAACGTTGTTTTTATTTTTATACTTTTTTATTACTTATTCACGTTGTTGAATGGTTTTATTATTTATTCATTTGTTGAATGTAGATATTGTTCAAAATGTTGGCGGTAATGCAAGTGTTGCATCTATTACGGACAGTTCATGCTATAGTTACTCTGGCCATATTTAGTGCAACCTCCGTTCAATTTCTCAATTGTTCTTTTGAGTTGATTGACGATGAAAACTTACTTTAGAATCCCTATACAAAGAAGTCTAGATGTCAAATCAGGTGATCAGGGTGGCCAAGATACTACTCCTCCACGTTCAATTCATCATCGCGGATAATGTCTGTCTAGCCAAGTAGTCTAGATTGAGTAGTTTTGCTATGAGCTGGACACTCATCGAATTGAAACCTCATTTCAATCCGTTGTTGCAGGTGGATGTCTTCTAAATAATCAAAGAAGTCAGTCTCCAAAAAATCTGTATATTTGGCTTTATTTAATCTGTCGGATAAAAAAATGGTCCCACTAGAAAGTTATTTCAAATTCCGAGCCACACGTTAATAGCAAAATGCTGGAGCCTACTTTCCCTAATAGCCTTGGGATTTCCACGACTCTATGCATGATATATTGTAAATATAACTTTGTTCGTCCAGATTATTTTTAATGAAAATGAATTATCATTGTTAAATTGCTCAAGAAATCAATTGCTGGAATACAACCTATTGAAATAATCCTGAGGTAATAAATGCTGTACTTTTTGAATATGGTACAGATGGTAGTTATCATCTCTTAAAGTTTGGTGAATTCTGTGCCGTGACAATTGTAATGCAGCCTGACACTCTCCGGACGCTGGTCTCAAGATTATTATTAAAGTGGCGCAGGACACGATTTTCTACTTGCATATTCGCTCTTAACGGATCTTGATTGAATTGAAAATGATTTGGTCACTCTACTGTTTGGAAATCGGCGTGTATACTCTCGCACTGCCTCCAAAGCATTGCTCGCAAAAACCGTACGCGAAAACCATATCAAGAATATATTCAATAGAATATGTACACGCCATATTATACAAGAGTAATTCATTCGATAGCTTCCGACGAGTAATTCTGACGAATTTTAAAAATAAGTATACTTCCCAGGTCAAAAAACAGTGAGCTATATTTGTTATTATAATTCAATAAATTTACTACAATCAATAATATTAATTCGGAACGTTTCGACTTTACAAAGTCATCATCAGCCGCATAAAATCCCAATCTAATTAATAAGTTTACATGACAATGTCAAAGTCGCAAAATCAACATTCAAATTATATAATTGTAATTCTCAAATATATAAAAATATACACCCTAGCATGTCGCAAGATTTGTGATACGTTATAATTACTCTGATGTTTGATTGTAGTAGTCAATTTACTTGAACGATGAAAAAACCTGTTATACTCCATTCTTCGTTTTTTGACGAGAAAGGTTAGTCCAAATAGGAGATTTCCAGTCCATTAGTCAAAAATAAAATTACATAGAGCAAATATATGGATTTCCTGCCGTCAAGTTTGTATATGTAGGATGAAAATTATAAAAGAAGGTAATTATTATATTATATATATCACTAAGAATTGCAACTTGAGATTATACGTCTTAACTGTATGGAAAGCAAGGTACAAATTTACATGAGCTGATAATAATTATTAATTTTTAATTCTGACGAATTTATATGAGAAAGGCAGAAATATAAATAAACAAAAAGTTTTCATCTGAAAACGAAATTATTATTATTATTGTTTTCGTGTACGATTTTAGCGATGATAATACTTCAAAGAGTGCAAGAACAAAGTAACTACATTTTGTCTTTTTTGCGATTTTCTCCAAAACGAAGCAAAATCAAACATATCTTTGTAGGACTTTTTTTCTTAGTTTATCGATCTTCCACACGTTCTCAAAAATTTGACATTTAAATTCCAGACACTCTGTGTACACACTCACGGTATATACACTTACGGATAAAAAAAATACATATATATGAGCCCCTTAGTTGACATGTAGCATAAGTCTATCTTATAAGCATAAACCTTATGCCACTTGATAACTGATAAAATATATATATATATATATGGTATATATGAGCCCCTTAGTTATCAAGTGGCATAAGGTTTATGCTTATAAGATAGACTTATGTTATACACACACGCACACACACACACACACACATTTTACACACACACACACACACACACACACACACACACACACACACACACACACACACACACGTCATACTTGTATCTTGTATCTGATTGCAAATAATTGTGCAAAATATTACCTTTTACTATTTTTATTTATCTGATAATATTAAAATTTGACATACTCAATTGACATACATTAATTGTACATTAATATAATTTCTTATTTCTAGGTTGCAAATAGGTTTCAATGAATCGGAAGTTCTACAAATTTTTTGTGACGTTTGTGAAGCCGTATCCAGATTGCATCACTGTCAAACTCCCATAATTCATAGAGATCTCAAGGTGAATTGCTTAATGGATATTATGTGATATCGTTGGAAATATAGTTTTATTAATTAAATATACATTTAACTGTCTTGCGATAGGTGGAAAATATATTGCTCGCTGACAGCGGTCATTATGTTTTGTGTGATTTTGGATCTGCGACGGGAAAAATTCTTAATCCCGGTGTCCACGGTGCCGCTGTAGTCGAGGAAGAAATAAAGAAATATACTACTTTAAGCTACAGAGCTCCTGAAATGGTTGATATGTACTGTGGAAAACCTATTACTACGAAAGCAGATATTTGGGTAAGTAATATTATGTGAAAAGTTACAGATCCGGACTTTGCGTCGCGATAGCTCCGCTCGTAGAAAAAAACTAAAAGCATTTTTATTATACAATTTAAGTTGTAGCTATCGATTGAGCGTATATAGAACTTGATCAGTTCAGCCGTTATTGAGATCTGATAATCTTACTTTGCCGCAACTCACCGGCTCTCGTAAAGAAGGCACAGCAGTGTCGCTGCGCTTAGCTTAGCGCCGAGACACTACCGTGTCTCCAAATATATTATCTACGTTTACCTGCATCGCACACACGTGATGATCATGATATCGTTCCTTTACTTCATAAGTGTTTTAAATCAAAATTAAATTTCTGAGAAAAAAGGAAAAATTTTTTAATTTTTTTGACAGAAAATTATTGACTGATAAAATAATATTGACAAAACAGAATATTTTACAAGAACATGATCAAATGTCATTTTTGTTTTATAACCTTTAAAACTCATCTTTTGCGACAATGTAAACAAATTATATTATTTTTAAATTCCTTTGTTAGTGTAAGAATTTAAATTTGACTTTCATCGCATTGTTCTAACAACGGTCAATTTTATAAATCGTACAAATTGATACAATTTTATATGAAACAATTATTAGACATTTTTACACACTACATTTATAACCAGATAATTTACATTGATTTATGGACTCTTACTATTGTACCGAAATAAATACAACGTCAACTATGCGAGTGAGATTGTACACATATTATTAGGCCGGAATCAGACTACGCATTGAAAATTGAGATTGAAGATTAAAAATTGAAATCTGACTAATGAGAATAAAAAAATTTTTGCTCTTATTATTTTGATTGGCCAAATTTTAATCTTTCAATCTTTAATCTCACTGTTCAATGCGTAGTCTGATTCCGGCCTTATACATATATATATATATATATTTTTTCATATTTTTTATAATTTTATAATTTCGTACATCACATTCCTTGTTAACAACTTGCGATCATTCTGTAATATTGATAATGACCTAATAGAGGTCGAAACGTCTGTTGTTGTTTGTTGTATATTTCTTTGTTTCTAATTAAACTACATAATTTTAACTAAATGACAATTTTTATTTACTAACAATTGTATATTATAACGACACTTTTGGCTCGTAGCCCTTTTCTTTTTCATTATTTTAAATTTATTGAGTTTTATCAAAAACATACTTTTAAAAAATTATTCTTTTTGAGTCGCGGCAGTTTTTTTACATGGGCTATATACATTCTAAGCGCCGAAAAAATTCATCATAATTTTGGGATTAATTTTTTCTGGAAGAGAGTAAAATAAATTGAAAAATTATAATAATTCCACATTTTTCTTGATACTTTATATAATATAAAAAAATTTTTATTTTTTACTTACATGCAGGCTCTGTAATCTCTGCAGCTGTTACATGAAAATTTCTACAGGAATTTAAGATGCTCAATGAGCAGCATCTTAACTTTCTCTAGAAATACAAAAAAATATTAAAATTTTTTTACTAATTTCCAAATTAATCTTGTACCTAAGGATTGTTGACTTATATTTAAAAAAAAATCAAGATAATAGGCTCATATGAATAAATCCAAAAGAAACAATAAAATGCCAATTTGAACCAACACAAGTTATCAGTGTACCTTTATATAATTTATGTTATTATTGTTCATTTTGAATCAATTTTATATATAAAGATACTCACTCATAACTTGTGTCGGCCCAAATTGGTATTTTATTATTTCTTTTGGTTTTATATTTTTAAATATATAATTTTAAATATTTTTTTTTTTACATTTTTAATATCTTTTTTTGTTAATTTTACCCGATACATATCAAGGAGAGGTTGCTTCTTCCTATCATATCCCACAAATGTTCGATGGGATTTAAACGCCGGTAAAAATAATATTGTGGATATATATGTAGGAAGTGAAGTAAAATAGTCACTAGACGCTGTAGAGGGCTGTAAGGCCGGAATCAGACTACGTATTAAAGATTGAGATTGAAGATTGAATTTTGTCTAAATAAGAGGAGTTAAAATTCCTTTATCCTCGTTGGTCAAATTTCAATTTTCAATCTTTAATTTCAATTTTCAATGCGTAGTCTGATTTCGGCCTAATAGTGAACTAATAGAGTCAAACCAAGCAGAGGAGGCATTCTCGGAGGACGGATATTATCGACGGAGTGGGACAGTTAGATAAAGATTTCGGAGGCAGACCAGATACAATTATTATTATTATTATTACTTTTTGTCGTTGTTGATGGTAAATTAAATGTTGATTCAGTTATCTGATGCACGTGTATTTTTCCTTTGCTTTTGCATTTTTTACATATACAGGATGTTTGACAAGTAATGAAAAATTTTGTCGCATAGGAGTAGAATGGATTAAACTGAGAAGAAAAGTCCTTTTTCATTTTACGATTTTTACAATAGTTAACGAGATATTAATTTAAGGATGGCGGATATTCGGCTATCTTTAAGATCTAATATTTCGTTAAATATTGCGTAAACTGCAAAATGGTATGAGAATTTTCGACTCAGTTCGATCTACTTTACCTGCTCTTGATACATGATTTAATCTGTTAATGACACCCTGTCCTGTCTGTCTGTCTGTCTGTCTGTCTGTCTGCTGTGCGCGCGTGCGTGCGTGCGCGCGCGCGGATGGTTTGAAAAGTCCGTGCAAAGTCAAAGAGATGGCACCATTATTGGTGTGTATCAAGGTTATTTTCAGTTAGTAACATCTTGGAAGAACACACCAAGTTTCGGCCAGATCGGTCTATTTCTCTGTTTGACGTTTGTTTGAATTAAGGAGTGATTTCTAAAAAATGAATGAGAATTTGATCAAACATTACTTTGTAAAAGGCAAATCGTCTCAGGAGACTAAAAAGAAGTTTGATAAACATTATGGTGAATCTGCACATTCGATTAGAACAGTTTATAAATGGTTTCAAACATTTCAGAGTGGCCATATAAGCACAAGTGACGCTGAACGTTCTAGATGTCCTTTGGAGGCCACTACTTCAGAAATCACTGATGAAATCGACGATATGATATTGAATGATAGAAGAATTAAAGTGCATGTAATATTGCTAGTGTTGTAAGCATCTCGATTGAACGGGTACATAATATTTTGCATCAATATGAAATTTAGGCATGAAAAAGTTATCCGCAAGATGGGTGTCGCGATTGCTCACGTAGTTGACCAAAAATGAAATTGTGTGAGGTGTTCCAAGGACGGTTCACAGCTATTTCAGCGAAATTCACAGGACTTTAGACGTCGTTTTGTCACTGTGGACGAAATATGGATACACGCTTGAGACCAAGAAACAGTCCAGACAATGGGTTTGCCACCGGGGAATCTGCATCAAAGAAAACGAAAATCGTTCCTTTGGCAAGGAAGGTTATGACGACTGTCTTTTGGGATTCGCAAGGAATAATCTTCATTGACTATGTGGAAAAGGGTAAAACTATCACAGGTGAATATTATTCATTGTTGTTGAAACGTTTAAAAATCAAATTGCAAAAAAAAGTCCACGATTGGCTCACAAAAAAGTCCTTTTCTATCATGACAACGCACGAGCTCACTGGAGTTGCCACAAAATTGATGGAGTTAAGGTTTCAACTCGTTCCGCAATCTACTTATTCTCCAGATTTGGCTCTCTCGGATTATTACTTGTTCTCCAATATGAAGAAATGTCTCGCGAGAAGGAGATTTTATTTAAACAAGGTGATTGCGGAAACGAATATCTATTTTGCATAGTTGAACCAATCCTATTATTCAGAAAGGATCAACAAACTGGAGCAGCGTTGGACGAAATATATAAGCTTAAAGAAAGATTATGTTAAAAAATAAAAAATGTCCCGAAAAAATTAAATAGTGTTCATTTTTACACAGACTTTTCAAACCATGTACGTATATATACACACATCGTAATTAGAAGTGTATATTTCTACTAACTATAATACTAACTATAATACTAACAGCATTTGCGGTACTGTATTTATACGTTAGTTTAAACTTACTTTAGTTTATTTAAGTTATTATTTATGTATGTGAGATAATGGCGAGAAGACTATATAGTTTGGAAAAACTTTCAACAAATCTTTAAGAACTATTAGGTCAATCGGAAAGTCGTCCATCTAGCGACGAGTATCTATAACTGGAACTGTCAATAACTCTAATGTCTAAATCAAGCTTAATTTTTTAGTTTTACCGTCTGTCAATAAAATTCAGTATACAAAAGTATACGTTTGCATCAATAACATTATTTCTTACTGCATCGAAAATGTCGACATTTGAGTCAAATAAATGTCATTTGCGCGAAGTGTGAATCTTCTGCTTCAAATGGAAGAAAATTGCAGCTGAAGCTCATCGAATGCTTGTAGGCGTGTGTGAAGTTGGCACCTCATCTTTTGACACCGCAAGTTTTCACACAAGTACCATTGGCATCCGCAATAGTTCTATAGTTCCTGATAGGTTTTAGGACCAGTACCGCTGATTTACCTAAAAAAAAATAGCACTTGAAAATTTGTGGTGCTAACTTTCAGTGGCACCGCAAGATTCGAGAAAGTCGATTTTTTTTTACGGAATCTTACAGTACCTGAAGAGTACTAGAGTTCCTGATAAAATATAACAATAGTACCGGCCAGTAAATATTAAAAAAAAAATTTTAAAGGAGCTAGCACCGCAAGTTTTAAAAAAATTCATTTTTTTTTTGCGCTATTTTTTAGTACTCGAAGAGTACTATAGTTCTTGATAAGTTTTAGTGACACTACCGACCATTTTAATATATATGAACGATCTTTTAATCTGAGAGTTGGCACCGCACGTCAAGAGTAAAGTACCCCTAAACGGCCAGTACTGGCCGACTTTTCGGCTTTTTCCGACAGTACTACGAGAGTACCGAAGAAATATGCAAGTGTCGACCCGAGTACTCTTCCAGTACTGGCCGTTTAGGGGTACTTTACTCTTGACGTGCGGTGCCAGCGAAAAACTTAAAAAATTATTTAAACATATTAAACGAAGAGTACTCGGGTCGACACTTGCATATTTCTTCGGTACTCTCGTAGTACTGTCGGAAAAAGCCGAAAAGTCGGCCAGTACTGGCCGTTTAGGGGTACTTTACTCTTGACGTGCGGTGCCAACTCTCAGATTAAAAGATCGTTTATATATATTAAAATGGTCGGTAGTATCACTAAAACTTATCAAGAACTATAGTACTCTTCGAATACTAAAAAATAGCGCAAAAAAAATGAATTTTTAAAAAACTTGTGCTAGCTTCTTTTTAAAAATTTTTTTTTAATATTTACTGGCCGGTACTATTGTTATATTCTATCAGGAACTCTAGTACTCTTCAGGTACTGTAAGATTCCGTAAAAAAAATCGACTTTCTCGAATCTTGCGGTGCCACTGGAAGTTAGCACCTCAAATTTTCAAGTGCTATTTTTTTTAGGTAAATCAGCGGTACTGGTCCTAAAACCTATCAGGAACTATAGAACTATTGCGGATGCCAATGGTACTTGTGTGAAAACTTGCGGTGTCAAAAGATGAGGTGTCAACTTCACACACGCTGCTTGTAGAAGTTTATGGTGATAGTGCTCCTTCCGATAAAACATGCAGAGAATGGTTTCGACGCTTTCAAAGTGGTAATTTTTATGTGGAGGACAAAGAGTGTTCTGAACGGCCAAGAGCATTTGAAGACAAAGAATTGCAGGCATTGATGGATGAAGACCCACGTCAAACGCAAAAACAACTCGCAAAAGCATTAAATGGTGCTGAATCTGTTATTTCCGATTGTTTAAAAGCTTTAGGAAAGGTCTATAGGGAAGAAAAATTGGTCCCATATGAATTGAAGCCAAGAGACATTGAAAGGCGAAAAACCACCTTCGAAATTCTGTTTGCTAGGTAACAAAGAAAGGGGTTTTTGCATCGAATGGTGACTGGCGATGAAAAATGGATCTATTTCGATAACCCCAAACTCCGAAAAACCATTTGCGATCCAGGCCAACCATCGATATCGACATCAAAACGCAATAGTCATGGGAAGAAGGCCATGCTCTGTATTTGGTGGGACTAGAAGGGTGTAGTGTACCATGAGCTGTTGAAATCTGATCAAACAGTTACAAGGAATCTCTACCGAGAACAAATAATTCGTTTGAGCCGAGCTTTGCGCGAAAAACGACCAGAATATGAGACATGATAGCATAAAGTGATTTTGCTTCATGACAACGCTCGACTTCACGTCACTAAGGCTATGTTAAAGAAACATTGGAAGCATTTCGCTGGGAAGTGTTATCCCATGCGGCTTATTTACCAGACTATGCTGTTTCTGACTATTACTTGTTTCGGTCGATGGCACACGCACTTGCTGGGAAATGTTTTAATTCTTATGAAGACGTCGAAAAATGGGTCTCTGACTGGATAGCCTTCAAAGATGAGTCATTCTTTCGCCGCGGAATTTGCTTGCTGCCCGAAAGATGGGAAAAAGTCATTGCTAACGATGGACAATATTTTGATTGATGTACTTTTTCATTTTGTTTCTAAAATAAAATCATACTTTTTGCAAAAACCGGATGGAACTTTCCGATTGACCTAATAGTCCTAATAGAGTAGCAGAATTTCTCAGACCACAATTAGAGCTTGCATCATTACGTATACATGAATATGTTTGTAAGAAATTATTCGAAGACGAGGCGCGCGGAATACGAGTTTTTGAAGTGTATGTACATACATTCACACGTCAGTCACAATACACACGCACACACATTCACACGTTATATGCATAATTGACGCGTGGGTGTGTGTACACTTCAAGAACTTGTATTCTGCGCTCCTCGTCTTCGAATAATTTCTTACAAACATTCGTGTAAACATAATGATGCAATTGTGGTCTGAGAAATTTTTATCATATTTGGTGCTACTTCTATTGCTCTAATTGCAATCTGAAGAATTTTCAAAATCCGAACAGCAACCTCTTCTTGATGCACATCAGTTAATGCTAATGTTGAAAATAATTGAATTATGGTAAAATACATGGGTAACTTTGATATACAATATCTCCGCAAAAAAATCGCACAAAGCTTTATTTTTTTAATTTGTAAGAAAAAGTCCATATATTACGATGTTTGTTATAACATTTGCGAAAAAATATTTTGCACTTTATAGAGTGCGTGAAACTATGTAACTTCTTCAAGACATAACACGTTCTTTTTTTTTTAGAAAAGGTACCTAGTAATTGGACGTAATATCTATTAAAATCATATCATAAAAATGAAAAGTTTAAGCCATGTCACCGCGCGCGGTCCGAATGCCGCTCGAGCGACATTTGATCTGCGCGCGGAGCGGTGAAATG